GCAGTCATGCAGCCTCCCTGTCCCATCCCCTCCACTCCTTCCTTCCTTCCCTCTTTCTTCCTCTACTGTTGTGACATGCCCCGGCCACATTCCAGCCGCAAGCGCCGGCAGTGTAACTTGAAACTTTGGAATTTCTTTAAAAATAAAAAATTGCACTGGGCCGCATTATGAGCTGACCAGGGCCGCATGCGGCCCTTGGGCCGCAGGTTGGACAAGCCTGACCTAAACCATAATACAATATCCTGAGGTCTATCAAGAACCTTGTCTATTCTGTGTGGAATTACCTTGGTCTATGGAGGGAGTAACTGTCAGGAGATATGATCAACCAGCAAGAAAGACTAAGAATTTGTAATAAAAATAGAGTATATGATTCATGGCAATGTTGAGGAAAGGGAACAAATGTAGGAAATAAACCATATGAGGGTGTGTCAAAAACTCACAGACAAAAACTCTCCTGGTGGAAGTCCCTCATTGTGTCGTTTCATGGCTGTGAGAGAAATCTAAGAACAACACTAATGAGAATTTTCCTGGTTCACCAGATAGTTGTTCTGATAAGAGCCAGCATTCCAGAGTTTATTTTTTAATGGTCACACTAAATAATGTTTTTCATCTCATTACGTCCTGACTTCCAGTAAATCCTATCACATGTAGAGCACACAGCATCTGATTTCTGCAACTTTAGCTTATAAAATAGCAACTCTAGCAAAGTTAACCTGGTAAATATTTCAGTGAGATGGGGGTGGTGGGACTGAACCTTGTTAGAAAATGCAACCCAGACTACGGATATTGATCAACAATCTCAAGTATGCTTCTAAGACTGGTGGCTTCAGAGGTTCGGAATGGCATCAGCGAAGGGCTCTCCAGAAGTGTGAAGGGCAGATGGGCGATCTGCAAGCTGTGTGTAATTCAAATATCTGCAATCCATTAACACCAACACATTAGGGCAGATTAATTTATGCCGACATGATATAAGACAGCAGCACCCTGAGCTGCTGACAGAGGGGAATGTATTTATCACCTCAGGAGCCCACCATAGAAACACAGTAGCATGGCTTTCCTCACTGTCATTCATTTAAATCCATGGACACAGTGAACAGTTTGATTTACTCCAAGGACTGACATTACATATTAATTCCTGGTTGGCAGGAAGGAGCTGTGGGGAGATATTTGCTACCTTTCTCTACAACAAAACAAATGTTTTTTGTAGCTGAATGGCCCCCAAAGGAGCCTGAAATGCTTTACTTGCTTGAGGGGAAGTTTAATTAATTTACTGTAGCGATAATTAACTCCCCCCCTACTTTTGTAAAATTAGCCCTCAGGACTTCCTAATTGATACCAGTTCTTTAAAATCCATTGGCCAGGATCCTGTGGTGCAACTCTGTACGTGTCAGTGCTGGTGACATTATCTGCCACAAATGTTAATCTTGATTTTAAATCTTCCTGTTTGCCCGCTTCAGGTTCTGAGCCTCTCCACAGACCCCGTTTGCCCTGGGGATGTCTTTAAAGACCTCAAGCTGGGGTGTAGGGAGGGCCTTTAATATTGTAAGGTGCCTTGGGCCCCCTTGAAAGTGTGGAGGGTGTAAATATCTTACACAAAGTACAAAAATGCACACACTTGAAACAGTGCTCCCAAACCATTTTATTCTATTAAGAAAGAAAGTTTTGGGAAAGGCAAAAAGTGCACATTTAAGAAACAAACACACCACTATTCGCCAATTTCTGTGTGTGTGTATGCGCATTACACGCAAACCATCATTAGAGCTAGTGTAGGGAGGGCGTTTAATATTTGGGAAAGGCAAAAGGTGCACATTTAAAAAACAGACACACCACTATTCACCAATTTCTATGTGTGTGCACGCGCATTACACGCAAACCATCATTAGAGCTGCAATCACGTTAGTGTTCCAGAGATGGGATGAAGGAAGAATGTGCTTGTGACCTGAAGACCAGTTTCAAAATGAAGCAAGCGAATTTGCAAATTGCAAGAGGTGAGAAAAGCTCCAGCTCTGACAATCACACATAATTGACACTTAAGGAATTCCCTTGACAGGGGGACGAGTTATACGTAACATACAGTTGTGTCCTCAATGAGGCCAATGTCCAAAAGGAGGGCATTATATAGCTGTGGCACTATAGCACAGATGGCCGTCTCTCATGCCTCCACATCATATACCATGTATTTCCATGGTAGAACAGCGAGGCACAGTGGGGAATCCATAGTCCAAATTCTGGCTCTGTAGTCAGACACCTAACTCATTAACCTATCCTGCTTTAATGGTTGTTGTTATACTATATGCCTGATGCGAACAACAGAGGCAGAAAGGACAAAGGAAACCAATATGTATTTCCTGATATTGTTGTCAGGCGCTGTTTCTGGAAGGACTTAACTGCTATGGGACAGATGCCAACTCAATTTGGTTGCCTAGAGGTCACACACAAAGGTCTGGTAAACAGGAGATCCATACTTCATCAGCGACACAGTGGGAATTAACAAGCAGATTCTTGTCTCCAAAATACGTGGGGCCAAATGGACCATTTAAGGAGTGGAATTACCGTGAGCAGGCATTTACACCTATGAATCATAGCAGATGCAGGCCAACAGAGAAATGAGCAGTTCTGGATTTTAGCACTCTGAAACATAAATCTCCACAGATCTGCATAATCCTGCCATTGCAATTTGGTGCCTCCTAAGTGAACTTTTGACAATGCTCCAAGTGCCCAGCTTCAAAGGATATTGACATGTAGATTGAATAACGGCAAAGGTCTTGTTGTTTGCCAACCTTCCATTCTTCTTGCAATATGATTGACTGTGAGAAATTATCTAGGGTATATAAACTAATACCCAACTGTTGTATTTGTTACAGGGTTTTGAATTTTGGTTAAATTATTCTAGCTGCACAGTAGAAGTGCGGGGATTCACAGAGCAGAATTAGCTTCAAGTTCCCCAGAGTAGTCCACCCCTTTTTCTTATTGACTGGAACTTACAGTCTGAACAACTCACTCTGAGACATTTGGAAAACAGATAAATCCAACAGGTAGAAGAGACTGGGGCAGGGGAGAATAGAAGAGCCCTTAGCAGAGAGGGGTGACTGTCTTCGAATTCAAAAGCAGAGAAGGAATGATTGGTTAGTGCTGGATAGAGACAGCATCCAAGGCTGCAAAAAACTCCAACAGTATTAGGATAATGTACATATGCAAAAGGAAGAGGATGGAAATTGCCATAAATACTGCTTTGTTATTTTCTTAATTTTTTTTCCTTATTTGCAGTCGGACTGTTAAATGACAGCTCTTCCCAATACAGTGCTGCCTCGTTTAACGACGTTAATTCGTTCCAGCGAAATCACTGTAGAGCAAAAACGTCGTAAAGCGAAATAAAAAAGCCCCTTGAAATGCATAGAAAACCCCTCAATGCGTTCCAGTGGGGTGAAAACTCACCATCCTGCGAAGAACCTCCATAGGGGCAGCCATTTTCGCTGCCTGTAAAGCGAGGAATCCAAAAACACAGCGGGGAGCCATTTTAAGCAGCAAGTGGCCATTTTGAAACCCAATGATCAGCTGTTTTTGATAGTCGTAAAGCGAAAATCGGTTCCAAACTGAAATTGGTTCCCGAAGCAGGGAACCGATCATTGTTAAATTAAAAAAAAACATTTAAAACATCGTTTTGCAATCGCAAAAGCAATCGCAAAAACCTAATCGTCAAGCGATTTTGTTGTAGACTGGGGCAATGGTTAAGCGAGGCACCACTGTAATTCACAATCATTAGGAGCAGCTGTATGGGCAAGGTCAACCAATCTTTTGTGAATTTACAGCCTAGTAATAACTGAAGTATGTTTTAGATAACATGAAATTATTCACTGAATGCTGGGCAACTGATCTAGGGCTGAAAGTATGACCTGTTTTGGATATGATTGCTTTTTCCTTGATCGTGCAAGTTTATTGGCAGTTTTCTGAGACCGCGTGTTTCTGTGTGATTCTCAGTTGGTGGTAATAGCCACAAAGTATTCTTTACAGCTTTTTCATGATGTGCTGGTTCCATACACTCTTAGACAATAAGGGCCAAGCCACCATGACAAATCGTGATGGATGTACCTAAGTCACCTCTCTATTAGGAAGTATAATCACAACTTGATAATTAGCTTTTCATATGACAAATAAAAGAAGCTCACCACCACGACAGCCACCATGGAGCTATATACGTACTTTGAAAAGTGTTCAGAATCTGCAGTGATCAAGAATAAAGCAGCGTGGTTCCTCAATGGACCCAACTCTGGTGGTCATATTATACCACTCATGAAAGATTGGTGCTAAATAGTACAGTGGTGCCTCGCTTAACAATTGCCCCGCTCTACAACGTAATCGCTTGATGATTAGGTTTTTGCGATTGCAAACAATGTTTTAAATGTTTTTGTTTTCGTTTAATGATGATCGGTTCCCTGCTTCGGGAACCAATTTCAGTTTACGACAATCAAAAACAGCTGATTGTCGGGTTTCAAAATGGCCACCGGCTGCTTAAAATGGCTCCCTACTGTGTTTTTGGATGGATTCCTCACTTTACAGGCAGTAAAAATGGCCGCCCCTGTGGAGGATCTTTGCTGGACAGTGAGTTTTCAGCCCATTGAAACGCATTGAGGGGTTTTCAATGCGTTTCAATGGGCTTTTTAATTTCACTTTACGACGTTTTCGCTCTACAGCGATTTCGCTGAAACGAATTAACGTCATTAAGCGAGGCACAACTGCATTTTATTTCAGCCCAAAATGAAAATGCTATCTTGGTCCTTAAGGATCATGAATATCTGACAATGTTCTCTTTTAAAAAAAATTTGTATTAATATAACTGAGGCGGATACCCACGCCACTCCTGTCAATTTCATCGGAACCTCATTTGCATGAGCCAATGAGAGGACAGGAGGGGTGGAGGCAGAGTCTGGAGAGAGATTCAGTTGTGTCAGTTAGAGTCAGTCAGAGAGAGTTAGAGAGAGAGAAATGAAACAGAGAGATTCGCAGAAAGAGCTAGATAGTCAAAGTTAGAAGTGTGAGTTGTAACAAGTAATTACATAAGTTGGTTAAATTGCAAATATGTAAACAAAAGATAACATTTCAATGATTGTGATTCGGTGTAACTAAATAATGAACATCCGTAACTTTAATAAAATCTTCCAATTGTTTATTTATTTATTTATTGTTGGCAGCCAGTGTTTGAGTAAAATAATTTACATTGTGGAGAAAAGAAATCCACTGGTGGCAGAGAAAGAACAGTCACTAGCGTGGGCCTGTGGTTTGTGGGAAACAAACAGGGCACGGGGTGGACATCACAATAACAAATATAAGAAAAACATAAATGAAAAATAGAATCATAACTCAACTATACAGTGTAATCCACCACCATTGGGGATATAAATTTATATATATATATATTCTCATCAATATGTTTCATCTTAAGTTATATATATTCTTATATATATTTTTAGGAATCCCAGTGTGGTGTAGTGGATAGAGTGTTGGACTAGAACTCTGGAAAATAGGGTTTGAGTCCCTGCTCAGCCATGGAATCTCACCGGGGCAGTGGAACTGGTCAAACCACTCCTTAAATATCTCCCATGTACCTTGAAAGCCCTGTTAGGGTCACCCTAAGTCGGTCCCAACTTGACAGCATAGACACACATAATCTGTATTTTCTTGTGTGCATTGCCTTTTCTCCAGCATTTTATTTTTTTGGAACAAATAAAATATACTGATACTATAGAAAACTGATAGTGATATGTCATTTTCATTGACCAACTATGAGGAGCTCTGATTCACTTGTGATCCTTGGAATGTGAGTTTAAATAAATACAAAGCTGACTACAGCCTTTTATTAGCCCATGTTTGATTTGTTGCAGGAACGGCCTGGTCTGGTCTGAAAGATGGCAATCAGATGACATCCTTCTTGGAATGAACAAGCCCAGCCCCGGAGCGGTCCTATCTGTACCTTTATGAGCCCGTGTCAGAGGCTTCTACTTTTTTTGGTGCAGGTAAGATAGCTCTGCTTTGGATTGGTTCGAATGCATCAGATCACTGGAACTGATCGAGAAGAAGCCTTCCTATATGAATTTGCTGATATCGTGAAGTGGCGTAATAAGCAAGCCACTTCAGAATATTAGCAAATCAATCCCTTCCTCAGTAGAGGGGCAGGGAAGTGATTTTAAAAAAAATGTATATGGACTATCATGTATCAACTGCATCAGTAAAAATAAAAATTAAAAATATTTTCTTTTCCTTGCCTTAAAAGGCAGGACGAAAAACCACCCACTGTCAAATATATGGCAATGACTTCGGCTGCAGGCATTTTCTTGACCAGTCCTTTAAGAGAAGACAATAGAAGAATTTTTTTTAAAAAAACTGTTGCAGTACATATTTATATATATAAAAAGCAGAAGAAGAAGTGATTAATTTGCCAATATCCTGAAGTGGCTCACTTATTAAGCCACTTCATGATTTTGGTAGGAACGATTTCCATGTGAATGGGAGAGCTTGATTAGAGCACTCTGATCAAGCCTGTCCTTTCCAAAGGGGCCATATTAGCTTGCTCTCGGCTGCTGCTGTAGCCGCACCCTAAGTATGTTTTCCTGTAAATATTGAGTTTTGTACATATATTTTTAGTGTATTGAAACAACAAACTTTTCTGGGTAGGGCTTCTTGCTGTTTTTTCAGCTATGATGAGTGTGCATGTGTACACATTCAAAACAATGCAAACATCAATTAAATTGTTCTTGCTTTTAATTTTTTCAGGCACTTTCTCTATGTAGTAATCAATGAAGAGAAGCAGCGTTAGGTAAATACCTGTATTGGGCTACCAGACTATATAAATAAAGGCAGATGGAGAAAAAGAATGAGCCTTTGAGTCTATCAAAAATCTTCATCAAGTTGAGCTAAGCAAACTCAGTGGGTGGGAGAAACAGAAAAGTTCAAAATTCATCCTGTCCAGATCCTGCAAGCTACAAGAGCTTCAGTTATTTCCTATATTCCTTAAATATAATCTCCAGCTTGGCTGATGTGGGGGCTGCCCTATTATTCTGGCCCATGCTAGCATGAGGTCATGGTACTTGCTGTATGTAACACAAGGGCAATGGGTAGTCAACTTTGTTGAGCCCATTGCCTACAAAGCTGGAGATTTTACAGCCCTTTATAAGATCACCTCTCCAGCTGGCTCACTTTCCATTTTGGAAGTTAAATAATACAGTCCCCCATGGCTTAGAACTTCTGACCAGGAGTCATGTCAAACCCTTCTGATTCTCCTCACTCCTCCCCAAACTTTGCAACACCCAGTCTGATTAGAAGTTCTGAAGCTTTCTTCCTTTCCCCCTCCTCTTCCCTTAAAAAAAAATGATGTCCCCCAAAATGTTTTATGGGATTATGCTTTTTCCATTTTACTTATGGACCACGTGGCTATGATACTTCCCTATCTAGAGAAGTCTCACCTTTGCATCCAGACAGTGGATTCAGGTGGACTAGGATGGGCTATTTTTCTTATTAAAGCAGCAGAGTCCTTCCTGTGATTAGTATGGGTCACGATGGGCATCTTGTCGCCCTCCAGATGTTGTTGGACTGCAACTGTTCTTCATCCCTAGCCAGCATTGCCAATGGCAAAGGATGCTGGGTGGCACTTTGCCCGCTCCTGATTGGGTTTTCTTGAGCTATGGTATGCATTGAATTAGATAGAATGTTGTTTTACAACGTTTATTTTATGGCTTCTGCTGGTGTTTTATAGTGTTTGTTTTACTGCTATAGCAATGATCTATTATTCTACAGGGACTCTGTGGCATTGTGTTTTATGTTTTTATTTTAAGCTGCTACTGAGAGTTTCAGCTGAGGGGAGGAAGAATAGGATTCTGTATTTACATCTACAAACAAACTCGTATTTATGGCCTTCCAGGGCATGATCCTCAAGTTGAAATCTGTAGCATGGCCAAGCAGATAGTGCCAAGCCCTAAGGAGAAATGATGGGTTAAATCCAATTTCAGTTATACGTGATGAGATCCATTGCAATGAATGAGACAAGTGTGCACTAACACATCCCATCCATTTCAATCAGTCTAACTATGGGCATAGGCAAGTTGTCCCTTCCTGTACATGGCTGTGATTTCCAATGTCCACAGCTGCCTCCAACGCCAGTACAGTATACTGATACATCTTCATTTTTTTCTCCACCCACTGCCAGACTCTGGCTGCTACATTCTGGTTGTCCACAAGTGTGCACAAGGAGGCTTTCCCTTGGGCTGTGTTATGTGACACCACGGCCAAATAGGAAGGCTACTCCTGCACTCCTCTGACCAACCACAATAATGAGCAGGCTTTGCCTCCACCCCTATTAAGTTGTTTTCCTCTAGCTAAATACATCTTTACTTAACATGTTCATTATCATATTGCTTAGTGCATATCTTTGTTATGCTTTAGGTAAAGGTAAAGGTTCCCTTGACATGTAGTCCAGTTATGTCCGGTGCTCATCCCTGTCTCCAAGCCGTAGAGCCAGCATTTGTCCGTAGACAGTTTCGGTGGTCATGTGGCCAGCACGACTAGACACGGAACTCCGTTATCTTCCCACCATGGAGGTACCTTTTTATCTACTTGCATTTACATGCTTTAGAACTGCTAGGTTGGCAGGAGCTGGGACAAGCGGCAGGAGCTCACTCCATCACATGAACTCAATCTTATGACTGTTGGTCTTCTGACCTCACAGCACAGAGCCTTCTGAGGTTTAACCTACAGCGCCACCATGTATGCTTTAGCTGGAACTAAAATCTGATTTTGCCCTATGTCACTACAAATGCATTTGCATATTGCCCTGGGTGTAAACTGTTGTATCTGAGTCTTACTGCCTTGATCCTATTGCCCACTGCGTAGCAGACATGGCTCTCTGTTCATCAGATAACCACTAGTCCATTCTTTATGTACTCTTTAAAGATTAATCTCCTCCCCACCCCAACACAGGGGATACCCAATAAATTGTAGCAAATAGGGTGCTGGACCAAGCCTCCTGAGTAGAGATGGGGGTACAGTGGACCCTCGACTTACAGACAGCTCAACTTACAGTCTTTTCGAGTTACAGACTTCTCTGGCTGCAAAATTTAGATTCGACTTGCAGCCAGAGAATCGACTTACAGACCAGAAAAAAACCAAAATGGAACAAAAATAGAATAAAAACTGCCAGTTATGGGTTAATCGGTTTTCAATGTATTGTAGGTCAATGGAGATTCGACCTACAGACTTTTCGACTTGCAGCCACCGTTCCAATACGGATTAATTCCATAAGTAGAGGGTCCACTGTATTTGTATACGAATACCCCAGCACAGGGGAACATAATGAGGGTCCAGCTCCCTGGGGTCAGATCATCCACTCACTTTCCACTGTTGCTGTGGGCTCAGCACTCCCTTCCGTCCACTCACTTTCCACTGTTCCTGTGGGCTCAGCACTCCCTTCCTATCACTCTGGAACTCATGGTTTGTGAGCCACTCCTGGCAGGAGATGGGAGGACGAGGTCAAAGAGTGACTTGCAGACCATGAGCAACTTCCATAGTTTAGGTCAAAGAGTGACTTGCAGACCATGAGCTCTGGAGCAATGGGAAGGGAGTGCAGAGCCGGTGGCAACAACGGAAGGTGAGTGGATGGTCCGACCTCAGGGGGCTGGACTCTCGTTGTGTCCACCTGTGTGGGGGTATTTGCATTCATATACGAATACCCCCATCTCTACTCAGGAAGCCTGATTTTGAATCGCCACTCAATGGAGCAGAAGTTGTTTCCATTTTATTTTTTCAGAGCCACACAGGAAACTGTTTCCATTTTATTTAAAGAAATACATTTCAACAGATTGAACAACATTTGATATGACGAACATCCATTTATTAATACTATAATATCTGCAAAGATACCCAGTGTGAAGGAGTGGATAGAGTGACAGACTAAGACTCAGGAGGCCTGCGTTCAAATCCCTGCTGAGCCATGGAAACTCGCTGAGGGAGTAGAACCGGTAAAACCACTCCTCAAATATCTCACTCACATTGAAAGTCCTATTGGGGTTGCTATAAATTGGATCTGATTTGATGGCATATAATAAGAACAACCCCAACACAGATGCTTTTTCAGTGATTGTGCATTTATTTGAGGATAGATTTATGGGTTTCAATAATTTACCAGACAAAAGGTTCATTTGCCCTGTTGGACGTAATCTTCTCATTTTTCTAAGTGCTACATATTTTTTTCTGATGTGTTTTTTCATATCTAGAAATTGGTTCCTGTGGTGCAACAGGCCACTTTCTCGGTATTAATTGATCTGTCCCCTCACAATAAAACAGCCAAACACATAAAACAGCCAAACACATTTAAGTGCTCTGTTCCTATTTTAATTAATGACATAATTAAATATAATGGGAGTTGAACATGGAAGTCTCCCAAAAGTGACTAAATACATCTAATCCTTTAATCTATTTCTTTATTAAATGGACCATTTTGCATGTAGAACAAAAGTTATCAGTTAAAATTGCAGATATGCTTACAGCTTAAACCTGTGAGAGCAGACTGCATAAATAAGCTATTAAAACATATTCTTCCCATGGAAACAAAGCTGCACAGATGACTTCAGCTTCTCCCTCAATTCAGTAGTGTTTTCCCCATCAGCACTAAGCAAAATGTGCTCCTGTTTTGAGACAGGATTATGTCAGAATGTGAAATGGATTTTTTTTTTTACAGGTGACCAGGTTTCTTGTCTCGATTAAAAAACAAACCATGCTGAGTCTGCAGAAAGAAGTTGTAATATGTTATTGATTTGAGTGCTAATCTCTCCAGCATGAACATGTATTATCAAGCTTCCAGTGAGGGATGGTGGAAAAGGTGGAAAGAAAAAGAGATAGGAGCAGATCAGGTGGCTTCACTTTTCATTGTGTTTTTCAAAATATATACCATTTAAAAAAGGTTGGAAATAAGATTTCCAGTTCTTATAACTATACATTTAGAAATGAAGACTTCTAAAAAAAAAAAAATTCATTTTGCATCTGGCTTTGTTTAGTCACATGCTTTATTTGTTGTTATTGCAGTCCTTTTTTCAACTCGTATATCATCCATAGTGCAAAAGCATTCTCTGGGCAGTTTACAAAATAATTACCCAAACAACACTTTGCCCCCTGGTGAGCTGAGTACTAATTTTATTGATCTCAGAAGGGTGAAAGGCTGAGCCAATATTGAGTCAATTTTCTGAATCTGTCAGGACTGAAGTCAGGTCATGAGCAGAGGCAATACCGCAATTTAACCACTGCATCACAGGGCTCCTTTTCATCCTTTTAACTAGAAATAAGGCATAACTTTTGTAAAATGCAGATTGCAGAGTACAGAGTTGTAGACATCAATCTCTTCCAACTGGCAAGAAACCCTATACTAACATATTACTGTGTAGTTTTGCCTCCAGCACACAAAGCAACCCTATGATCACCTGTGGGTAGCAGGATTCTTGGTCATATGGAGAGTGCCTTCTGCCATGGAACTTAATCTGTATTGGAATGGTGTTCGTAAGTCAAAACGTTTGTAAGTCAAAGCATTGTAAGTCAGGAATGCATTGAAAACCCATTAATCCATTCTGGCCAAATGAAAAAATACCCCCCCCCCAAATAAAAATAAAAATCTGTAACCCCTGGGGCTGCAAAAAACCAAAACAAAACACAAACATAACCTCACCAATCCAATCCCACCCTGCAAAAGCCACCCAAAACAGTAAAAAAAGCACACTTACCTCCCCACGAAGCCTCCTCTCAAGCCTCCTGGCCATGGTCAGCCACCTGGGCCCCACCACTGCTGAAACCACAGTTGGC